CCGCCTAGGGGAAAGTCCCCGGACCGCCGGCAGAGAGTGCCGGGCGCCGCGGCGCCCCCGCCCGCTCCCAGCATCACCGTGACACCGCCGAGACGCCCCCGGGCCGAGCGGGTGAGAGGGGGCGGGCCCTCGTCACGGCCACAGACACGCAGGTAGTGCGCAGGCGCACCAACAGAACGGGGCTCACTCTCAGGCCATCCCGTTTTACCGGGGCCGGGCCGGAGCTGAGTGCCGTGCAGAGCTCGGAGATGCCCTGCAGGAACAGCACAGCAGCGGGTGGGTGTGCGCTGCTTTCCCCGCAGCGGCTCCGGCACGCGCCTCTGCTCACCTCGAGACGTGGAGACTCGGTGAGGGGGGCACTGTCCCTGCCCTGCTCCGGGAAGAAGCAAGAGGCCAGATGGAAGTATCTTGGCACATTTGTTTGTTTGCACCACTCAGAAGTAAAACATCAAACACCGGAGAATCTGAGCACAAAGCCTGGGAATGCACAGACATCACTTCTCAGCACAGCAGTCCTTCGTGCAGTATGTGATGCACGCCTGTGAGTGCAGAGCACATCCCTGGTTTCCTCTGCTCTCCTGTACCCCTCAGAGGAAGCTGGTGGCACCAGTGTCATCTGTCCACTCAGTTTCATGCTTACACTCCCTGATACTACACAAGATGCTGCTACCTGCAGCAACAACACACGTAAATACTAGCCATGATGATAAGCTGAATTAATTCATAGGCAGGTGCTGTTCTTGCCTCTAGTATGTCAATCAAATAACACATTGCCATGCTTCTCCACAGAGGTCAGCCCTCTGCTGCCCTACAATCACATCTAGGTGTGAAGCACGACAGAAGAGCACTGGCAGAGATCCCCAAAATAACACTAAGTTCAGGCATCTCAGGCCCTACAGATATGAGTGCTCCCCTCACTCAAACAGCACTGAAGGAGCCCAGAGCCAACACTTCCCCTGGCTCATGCTCTCTCAGTATTTACAAAGCTGCCTTGGTGAGCCCTGGTCTGCTACACCAGCTACTGTGTGTCTTTCTGGTCAAGCTACAGACACACAGCCCGTATGTAGGCACAGCAGCAAACCTCACCGGCTTCCAGCATGTGCTGTTCTTCCTCCAGCAGTATCCTTATGGTGACATCTTCTCAGCTGTGTCAGACCCCTGTGCTAGGCAGAAGCTACCAGTATGCAGAGTGAGGAGCAGCTCTGTGCAGGACTAGCTGCGATAGTTGTGACTGCTTCATGGAGGAGCCTTGAAATGTGCACAAACTGCCTGGCTCGAGCTGCCATTTTGGTTGCGGTCTCAGCCACTTGAACTGCCTGAGTGTCTTGGTCTCTTTTCTCCTGTAATTCTTCATGTGATAAGCTATATGTGTTTGGGAAGACAGAGATTTCAAATGAAAACACTACCAAAGAACGCATCCCAAAAGAAACAACTAAACTAGGGCATGGCTGTATGAAGTCCTCCATTGTTTTGGTTGAGAAACTGTACTGAAATCCCAGCATCCCAGTTTCATCTGCTAAAAAGGACCTATCCAAAGCTGTATGAAGCTACCATTTCATGAGCTGTCATCCCTCTGTACTGCAGGCAGCACCTGCAGGACAGGCTGCAGACCGCAGACAAGCATGTGCAGACAAGCTGAAGCTTGGGCAGGGATTGATGTGGGTTTTTCTTTTTAGGCCCTAAAGATCACACTATAGCACCTTCACAATTTGGGCTGGTCTTTTCTGGGGGGGGACAAAATTCACTGTAAGTTTATGGCAAATGTTGGTCTTCAAATCTGTTAACAGAAAAGAATACACCAAAACTTGAACTCATCTAGTCTGTAGGTGACAATATACTGACATGACATGACCTGGTGGTCCAGAAACTGAGGGAAAAAGCCCCACACAGACAGAGTTCTGGTGCTGTCTCCCTCTTTCACTTGGCAGGTTTGTCCCTGTTTGCGTTGTAAGTGGCAAACTACAGAGCAAATAACAGTAATATCTGCTTTGCGAGATATTTTAAAAATCTTTTCTCTCAACTAAAATGTGCATTTTTTGCAATGTTTTGCATGGTGTATAATATGCCACACTCTTTGTCCATTTAACTTGTATCTGTGTGCCTTCTTGATGGTTCTGTTAGTAGCCACTGCCACAGCAAAGTTATCACTGTTAGCTCGGTTATGCTTTTAAGAAAATATTGTCATCTATGCCTGTTACCCATGCACCACCCCCCATGTAAAAACTGCCCTCAGGAGGTATCAAGTCTTAGGCTGTGCTGAATTCCACTCCTCTTCCTCAGATTAATTTAAACCCGTTCAGTTTCCTGGAACATTGGTGATTCCGTGGCTGAGCTAGGATACTTGCCAGTGCAGAGGTGGCCTGGCTAGAGTGTCACCAACATTACCTGCGTTACTTGCAGGTGAGGAATCTGGCTAGCCTTTTATAAATGACAGCAGAAGTTCCCACCTACATTGAAGGCTCACATATGAGTGTTAAACACAGAGTTTATGTGGATATCTGGTAGCAGTTTCAAATAAGTTGCAGGAAATTTTGAAAATGGCACATAACTTCTGAGCACAACTGCCTGTTGCTAAAGCAATGGATGATCAGTTCCAGCAGTTACCAGCCAGGTATTTTCTTCCTCCAGTAACATTTCTGCAACTCAAAAAGCATTGTTCAGCTCCCACATCTGAGCCTACAGCCCTTTAAAGTTTGAACTGTCACTGGTGGTCATGTAACATTAATCATTAGGCCTGAATGGACTGCCAAACGACTTGTTTTAAACGCCACTGTCAGAGAAGAATCCTGTTGTGCAAAAGACACTTTGTCACTAGTAAGAAAGCCAATCTAACCAATGTTTGCCCAGTTTTCTAATCCTCTGTGTTCTGTGTTTTAACTTCAGTTAAACTATATTCAGTCAGATTCTGCCCATATTTTGACAATAGCCTTCCACCCCAAATCCCTCCTTAGTTTGGAGCAAATGTCACATTTATTATCTGGGGGAAAGAGAGGATGGCTGAGAGGCTTGGGATATGAAATTAGTCTTTGGTGCTATTCACAGTGACTTTTCATTTGCACTAGAGATTAATAATCTGTACTAGGTTTGGATAAGCAGATTCCATAGAGAAGAAAAAAATCCACACTAGAAAAAAAAATAAAATAAGGATTCCTCCTGTTTGGTGTGGAGTTTCAGTGACATATGTCTAAATTCTCCTCAGGTTTTCAAGGAGAACACTGCAATTCATGAATGGTAACTACAGGCATGTAATTACCCCATTTCTGCAGGAGTGGAATTCATTTCACTGACATCACAACAGATCTGGGCTCCTCTTACAGTCAAGAGACATTTTTAGGGAAAGACCTACTTATACAAAGATTCTCATTTGACATATTTGGCTGGATGACTCCCACTTTTGTGTCCCGAGCTGGAAAGGAAAATTAACATCCACATATGGGAGTGTATTGTGAACATCTTAAACCATCAGCTACTAAAATTTCCTGCAGATGTAAATGCCTGCCCTCATTTCACAATCTTGATTAAAAGGTGTGATTGTGTATGTTTGTTCCTCACAAAAGGAAGTAAGAATGTGTTTTTCACGTGACCTGTGCTGAGTAGCAGAATCAGAGAAATATCAATGTTAGTGTGTAGCTCAGGTAAGAGCACACAAAATATCCTTTGTTATTATGGGCAAAAGGGGCTCAGTTCTTTTCCATTAAGGTCACCTGGATTCTTCCATTTTCTGGAATGAAAGGGGGTCAAGCTTCAGGGCTCAAGTAACGCAGTAAAGACAGTTGCCACATATTTGCTTAAGATTAATTTGTTACCATTTGTTGCCTGGCTTCCCTAAACATCACCTGTACACTTCCTAAATTCTTTGGCACAGTGATTGGCTCTGGAGCCAGAAAGTAAATCCACCCATCATTTAGGATTTAAAACAGTAGATGAGGAAGAAGAGTCACTGTCTGAAAAGCTGTTTACTGTAGAGGAAAACAGGGACATGTTACTTCAGCCACGAGTGGACAGATCCATATTGTAACTGTCAGGGAATGATCCATATAGCTTTCCCTGTTACACCAGCCAGGTGCTGCCCTTCGACTGGTTAGCTGTGTCCCACTCCTCTAAGGACCTGCAGTTCTGTGCCAGCCAGCATGCTCCATAGCACCTGTGAGAAGCTGCTGTTGTCCAGCCCCTGCTGGCTTCCTGAGGGCATTCGGGACAGCAGATACTCTCAAAAAGGAGCAGTGTGCTCTGCTCAAAACAAAGCAATGATATGGCAGAATGCTCTGATGGAAGCAGTGATGTCATATAAGTGAATTCCTCAACATTTCCCACCTTGGGCCTTATCAAAACACTTGGTCAACTTATCAAAACACTTTTGGGTATAGCCATGGAATTAGAGTAGGGAAGCTGAATGGGAAGAACTTTAAAAATCATAGAATAGTTAGGGCTGAAAAGGACCATAAGATCATCTAGTTCCAACCCCCCTGATATAGGCAGGGACACCTCACATTGTCACTCTGTCCAACCTGACCTTGAACACCGCCAGGGATGGAACATTCACAACTTCCCTGGGCAACCCATTCCAGTGCCTCACCACCCTTACAGTAAAGAACTTCTTCCTTATACCCAATCTAAACATCCCCTGGTTAAGTTTTTAAATAGATAAATAGTTATTACAAAACAAAGCACAAAGTAAACTTATTTTGCATGCTTCATTTTTCACTCTGTTTGAGGTGAGAAAAATGGAACCATCAGTTTGAAAAAAAAAGATGAGCTGGATATTGCAGCTGCCTTCTTCTCCATGTTAATACAAGTCAACTGATTACTAATTTGGGCTCAGGAAGAGATTTTCTTTCAGAGCATATTGGCAAAAATCTTGGAAGTTCTCCAGTTTTTGAGCAGATGTTTGCATTTGGATGAGGAAGAAAATATATCCCCTGATCAGTGCGAGATGTTTGTTACTTGGTGCTAGGGAGCTCTTTGATACAGCTGAGGGTAAGGATAGCTGGGAAAAAAAAACACACGCCAGTGTTCTCAGGAAATGTACTGGTTTAGTTTATCACTTTACTGAAATGATCTGATGTTGGCCCATGTCTTATTTTCAGATGTCCTACACTTGTGTAAATGAAAAACAACAATGGTTGTTTCCATATGATTTGTGTTCCACCACATAAATCAAGCCTAATATTTAAGGAAAATCAAAAGCAATGACATCTGCCATTTCAGGGAAGTATCTTTTGTTGGATGACCTGATGTTAAGAGAAGTTTTGAAGAATAGCTTACCCAAACAAATCTCTGTTGCTCGGGCAAGGATAGCCCCTTCCTGGAATAACACCTATACATAGATCAACTATGGCCTTTCTGTACAACTTTATGATCGCCTATAGCTTTCTTCAGCTGACTTTTTTAAAAGCCCTTCTTTACTGAGTTTGAAATAATTCTTTCTTTTCTCTACATTTCTTTTCTTGGTATCTTGGAGAATTCTTCATCCCTTTCATCCCATGGAAACCAGAGCAGCATATATTCTGCCAAGAATAATGTATCATCAAAAATTAGTTCTGTTCCATTTGCTTAAAAGAAGCACCCTGTTACCATCCTTTAAGTACTTCCACTAAATGCTGAGTAGGCCTTTCACAATTACAGCCCCTTATGGACTTGTCATCATCAGTAATGCTACTTTTCACTATTTTTCCACAGATGGAAACTCCTCCTGGGCTATCAATGGGAAGCTAAAAAAATCTAGCCAACTTGTGTATTGTTAGGTGAAAAAGGACAGGAATCAGCTATGATTTCATAGAATCACAGAATAGCTAGGATTGAAAAGGACCTTAAGATGATCTAGTTCCAACCCCCTGCTATGGTCAGGGATGCCTCACACTAGACCATGTTTGTTGCCCAAGGCTCTGTCCAGCTTGGCCTTGAACACTACCAGGGATGGAGTATTTATGCTATACATGCTAATAACACATTCCTGATACCTCTGTGAATGTCAACCTCCAGCTGGCAATTCTCCACTTAGTGGAGAGGATTCGTGGAAATGCATGGTCATTCTGCCTGGCCATCTCTACAAATAGCAAGGCTTGCTCTGCCATGCCTCCTATCTTCAGATTATTCTCACAAGCAGCCATTGAGAGAAGAAACACAGTTGGGTCACAGAGGCTATCAACCTGCAAACTGGAGTCCAATAACGGAAAATTCTCCAAGTGCTTGCTCCTAACCATTCTGAGGCATAATCAAACCAGAAAATTCAGCCTGCGGTTCTTGCTTTCCTTCCCCCTGAGGATTCAAACATGCAGCAAGCTAGGGCTTTTCTTTCCTAGGGAGACGTGGTCTAATGTTACTGCTGTATTCTCAAGCTTACTCAATTTAGATCTTTATTTTAGTGTTTGAAAGCAGCAGATAGCATTTAAATTCAGGAAACATTAGCTGATCTCAGTTGTACCTTCTCAACTGAGAAGATATTGCTCCCTCCATAGTGACAAACAGCAAGTATTCAGCACTGAAATCACCTGTAACAAATGTTATGAATGAAGTGTGCATATACAGATTCTTGCTAGGAAAAAAAAATGCCAAAATGTCATTTAAAATTTAACATTTAACTGTAATGAACATTTAATTTTAAATAACATGAATTTTTAATGGACATTTTTGCTTTATTTTTCTGCTCTGTATGGGAAATGAAGAAATAAGTAATAATAACCCAGAATAAACCCAGGACAGATGGCAGAACAATACAGCCAATCAAACTTACTATGAGCAAAACCACAACCCCTCAAAGCAGCCAACATCCTTCTAAAGAATACTGTATCATTTATATTAATCCAGGTCCTTTTACCCAGGTATATGGGTAGTGCTTTTTGCCTGTACAGTAAGTATTATCTGTTAATATTATAAGAAAGAATTCATATAAAAGACTTCTGTTACTCAGAAGTGACAGCAATGAGCACCATACAATAAAGCTTCAGCAGTTTACTGCCGATGGAAGTGAATGTAACTAGATTATTTTCACTTTCTAAATCTATTTGTGCAAAAACAAGTAGCATAAAATTATATGAGGCTTAGCTTCATTAATCTGAGCTGTCACAATACAAAAAGCAGCAGCTGCTTTTACTGGTGTTACAGATTTAAAGATGAAGGTGTCCTCTTAAGAACATGAACATGCTGAGCTATAGACTTCCTGTTTTTTTTTGGCCAGAGTGATATCAGCATAAAAAGGAATGTTTTGAAAGAACTGCCTACAACTTTGTTTTCATTCATTTTTATGAACTTGCCAACACACTGCTGACTTGGGCAAAGCCATCTGTCTGCAGCTACAATCACTCAACATCTTAGACGTAGATGTATGAAAATCACTGTCATGTAGGATACCCGCTTAGCAGCTGCATGAGTTGAATGTTAAGAATGTGTTTAAATACTTTTGTGAACTAGGCTGTGGTCTTAGTAATACTTACAGATTGCCATCATGTGAGATGCTGATCTGTGGGCTGGTCAGATGGATTTTGTCACAGGACCCGCCATGGAGCCATCTGGCAAAGATTACATATTCACAGAATCACAGAAAAAAAGTAGGCTGGAAGGGATCTTTTGGAAGCCATCAAAGTAGAACCAGCTTCACAGCCAGATCAGGTTGTGCCAGGCCTCATCCAGTCAGGCTCCAAAAATATCCAAGGATGGAGACTGTACAACCCCTCTGCGCAACCTGTGCTGCTGCTTGATCACCACTCCTGATCATGGCATTCTGAAACGTTATCTACAACATTAGTATGTGTACTCTTGTTTTTCTGGCCACTTACCTTCAGGTAGGAATGTAAGACAGAAGGTTCTTCTGGGGTTTGGATTTTTTTTTTATTTTACCCTTGTGTTCAATAATCTCTGTGACAGTTTTTTCCAAGTTTGGCAGATGTATTTCCCCCCACTGTTTTTCAGGTTCCTGAAATATAAATACATCATTCTGCAAAACGTACAGGTCTCCTCAAGATGTTTCAAGACTCCACAAGACCATACTTTTCCTGATGTCTACCAATTGTCATCATGAAGATCAGAAGGACATCTGAAAAAGAGATGGGGATCAACTCTCAACCATTTAGTAATTCTGCTTTGTATCAATCTCCCAGTAGAAAAAAGTGTGTCACTAAGAAGTGTATTTCTATTCCTGATTCCTACTATATTCATTGTGGCCAACATTTGATTCAAATTCTACAACAGCCTTAGGAAAGGCAGGATACTCTGTGAAAATTGGGAATTCGTTGGCAGGCAAGTGGGTTTTAAAAAAATAAAATTCTTTGATGCCTTATTTAAAATTCTCTGAAATGACTCCTCAGGATAAAATGTCACTCAGCTTCTCCCAGTTAATAATTTATGACACATCATTTTGCTCTTCTTTAAAGCTAAATCAGGTAGTTCTTATTATGGGCAGGAACAGCTTAAACTGCTGCTTCTTACAGTTGGAGGGTAAGAATTAATTGGATGCCCCACCATATCAACTACTACAGCGAGAAAAGCTTGACTATGGAGCACACTCTTGTACACCAGGCAGAAACCTGCCTTCCCTGCACACAGCCTGTCACTATGTTATCGGTGCAAACCTCAGTTCATGATGAAAACTGCTCTCCATCAATAAATGGTGGCATATATAGCTCACAACAACGTTTGGGAGAGAAATACACAGGTCATCTGCAAACAATTTAATGTGTGCATACATTTTATTGCAATACAAGTTACTCACATTCCACTCATGTCAGACACAGTGCCTTTGAAAAGGTGTGTTTCAAGAGATTTAATACCATTAGTGCTGACAGATTATTCTGTACACCAAAGTATTAAAAAAACAACCAACCAACCAAAAACAACAGTGCAAAGGGTAAGGCTTCAGCATCAAATGTAAAACTTCGGCATTTTTCTGCTTGCTCAAATATCTTTCATCAGTATTACATCCTGAAATAGTGGGAAGGTTCGGGGTTGTTACCGAAAATACAGCGCAGAGCATCACAGCCTACACAGGGAACAAGTGTAATCCATGACAGCCGCACACACCCTCAGAGAAACTCAGCATCTCCGGGGTCAAAGACCGTTTTGGGAAGAGCGAATAAACACGGGGCAGTGACCGAAGAAGGGCGACAATGGACACTAACACCTACCGGGAGCAGGAGGCGGGGCTCTTGACGGACCCCCATGGATCTCTCCCCTGCGACACCAGCGGTCCTCAGGGGCCAGGTCGCGACACCGCTGCCAGCTCCGCAGCGGCAGAAGCTGACTGCAAGCTGAAGGTAAATCGGAGCTACTCACACCTGGCGGCCACTTCCGCACTCTTCACCTCATACAGGTACCGCAGGCAGCGCTCGCAGCGGGGGATGCACGCCGGCCCCAGCCGCCCCTGAGGGGGCGCGGACATGGCGGGCGCTGTCCCAAAGGTGAAGGCGTCTGCCCCCGTGCGCGGCGGCTCAGCGCCCTCGGCCCACACACGGGGCAGCTGGCGCGAGGAGGGCCGGGGCGTGAGTAACCCCCATCCCCCCTGCGGCGGCCACCGCCTCCCGGCGCGGGTGCGGAAGCAACGCGGGCCTGCGCCTTTAAGGGCGGCCCCGTCCCCGGGACGGCCACCGCCCCTTGTCGCGCGCTGCGCCAGTAGGAGCCGGCGAGAGGGGAAGGCGGGAGAATGCGAACCCCTCGCAGGGCCGCCAGCCTCGCCTTATAAGGGCAGGGCCTCGCGCATGCGCGCAGCCCGGAGGCCAGGGGCGGGGGCTCCGAGTGGGGTTTTGCATCGGCGGCGGCACCGCGGCGGGAAGGGGAGCGGGAGCCCGTGCGGCAGCGGTGGCGTGACCGGCTCCGGCCAGGCCCGGCCTAGCGAGGCGCTTGCCCCTCGCCCCTCACCGCCTTCTCCCCCGTGGCGCCTCGGCGCTGTTCGGTCCCCTGCGGGCTACAGGGGCGGCGGCAGCAGGAGGGAGCGGAGCGGGGTCGCTGCGGGGACCCCGCGCCCGGTGCGGGCGGCGCGGCGGCGGCGGCGGCGGCGGATGTGCTGCTGGCGCGGGGGGATGATGCTGGCGGGGCCGCAGCTGGTGGCGGGGCCGGCGGTGCCGGGCGGAGAGCGGGCCCGGCTGCTCTCGCTCTATGTGCAGGACTACCTTGAGTGCGTTGAGTCGCTGCCGTTGGACATCCAGCGCAACGCTTCGCTACTGCGGGAGATGGACACGCAGTGCCAAGGTAGGCGCCGCCGTGGGACACGGCCTCTGCCATAGGGCAGCGGGGGGGGGGGGGAAGAGGAGGAAGCGGGGCAGGCGCCGCACATGCGCCCGTTGTGGAGGAGCCGGAGCCGGGGCGGGCCCGGTGGATGGGGGGTGGGCGCCGCGCTGGGCCCCCTGCCGGGGCCTGCGCCGGGCTGAGCCCGCTGCCGGGCCGGGCCGCTGCCCGCCCCAGTGAACGCGGAGAGCGGCGGTCCGGCCCTCCCCGAGGAGGACGTCCTGCGGCGGCGGCCCCGCCCCAGGGGCGGTGTGAACCGGCGGTACCTCGCCGCTTTGGCGGTAGGCCCGGTTGTAAGTGGGGATCCGTCCCGCACCCCCCGCCGGTTGACGCGGTGGTGGTGCTGCTGGAGGCGGGGCGCGGGAATCGGTTTTAGCTCCCTGAGGTCCGGAGGAGCGGTGAATTGCGGCTCTCCGGCCTGGCCCGCCGGGCGCTGACCTGGGGCAATGAGGGCGAGCACCCGGCGGGGCTGAGGAGCTGGAAGTTACCCTGAACTTCAGCCAGCGGCATGGCTGCTTCCGGCATGCCCGGATCACTGTCGGTTAAATCCGTTTCATCTCCCGTTCTTGGGCGGTGCAGCTGCGGGGCCTTCTATTTCCCGGCCAACCGTGATTTGGGATCCGTTGCCGAGGAGCATTGCTGCTTCAGCTGTGCAGCGGGGCCATCGGGGTGGACCCAGGGCACGAGTCGGGGGAATTCGGTCCTGTGGAGCAGAAGCCAGAGCCACATCTCCTGTGCTGCCTGGGAGGCTGTCCTCGGCTTGGGAAGAGGGGACCGTTAAGGCCTTTCAGACATTGAATGGGTCACCTCAGACGACAGCTATTGTAAACGGATTCTTTCATTTATCGTTCTAAGTACCCAGGAAGATACATAAGAACAGGCTTTTGTAAGTTTGTGTTTTTAAAGTCTGAAGGGCACAGACCTGTCTGCAGTTTTGAATTTTTAGTGAGGGTTGGACTGCCTAGCAGGTTCCCTAACTGAGCTTTGGTGGCTAGCCAGCACTTGAACGAATTAATTCTTACACTCAGCCTATAGTGCCATTATGTATTCTGATATGATACTGAGCCAAAGCAGAAGCTTGTTCCTAGTTCTGTCAAAGCTTACAACTGTTTCAAAAAATAGCAACACCCCCACCCCCCCAACCCCTAAACACTGGATAAAAATATCTCAGGCCCAAACCTAAAATAAGTAAAAGTAGTGTGGTAGAATTTGTGCCAGTTTAAAAGGTGGTGATAGTTCACGCATGAGGGATGGAATGATTTCTGTATTTGGAAAACAAATCCTTTTAGCTTTTATTAGCTCCACCAAACTTAATCAGATTGTCTGTAATGAACACTTGGCCTTGGTTTGGGTTGGGGTTTTCTTGTGTTTGTGTTTGGGGGTCTGGTGTTTTGTTGTTTTGTTTTTTTTTTTTAACTGGGGCTTCAGAGCTGTTTAGCTGGGCTTATGGATGCCTTCTCTGATGTTGAGGACAAGCAAGGAGTTTGGTGAACTCGCATTTCTGTCGGTCCAAAAGTTCTTTCCTCTTTTAACGGATGTTGATCCATTTTAAAGTGTGTGCAGCATTATCTTCACAGAATAATCAATGCAGGGTGACTGTTGTTCTGTGTCACAGTGTGAAAAAGCTGTTACTGCTTGTGAGCTCTTCTGGGCAGAGCATTCCCAATATGGAAAATCTCTGTAACTACACCTACACGTTTTGGCTTTTGATTTTTCTTTTTCTCCCTCAAAAAAAAAAAAGGCTGGGTGGGAGATAATTTGGCTGCTGAATACTGTATGCTCTGGTTATGCCTTTCTAGCTCAACAGCATGCACAATACCTTACCCTGCACTATTCAGGAGCAGATAGTAAGGTTCTCCTGCACTCGCACCATCAGGCCAACAGGCAAATGATGCAACTGAAGGTGCAGGGAGACAAAGCTAGTGGTTTTAGTGGTAGCTTGAATGTTAATATTGAGAAAAAACGGGCTGAGTTACTGGACAGGCAGAGGAGTTATTTTTGTCTTACCCTCATAAAAATCTGTAACAGAACAAAATGCTGTTGGCTCCTATTGTCATACATTTTAAGCATTTATAGTAGAAAGTGGCTGTTCACACTTAAGCTACTGTTTCAAGGTGTCAGCAGGGAAAAAAAATCGCTGTGAACAATGTGGGGATGGTATCTGTGGCTTCCATTTAGCACAAGCCTGAATCATTTCACAACTGTACAACATAGACAAATTCTTCAAAAATGAAAGCCAGTTTGTGAAATGTGGGTCTTTAGGAAAAGAGAGATTGTACTGCATATCTCCTTGCTTTAGAAGTAGATCGTTTAGTATCGTTTAAAAATTCCTTTGCCTGCTCAAATAAAAGCCTTAGGTAGTTTCTGAAGGAGCCAGTACTGTATCTAACACTGTGCATCAGGTTTCACCGTCAGTTCTACTGATCTGTTTCCTTCCACATTAGCAATTTCCCAAGAACTGAATTTTACTAAAGATTCACAGCAACTCATCCAGTTATTTTGCGTGACTTACAAGAATAGCTTAGAAGTCAAGCTGTGAGCCATTCACTTCTAGTTGCTTGACAATATCCTGTGATGCACTAAACAGTAGGTCACCTAGTCTGAAGAGTTCAGCCTTGATTTAAAATGCAGCTTGCTATAATTTGGCTTGGTAATAAGAAAAGTGTTTTGAGTGGTTTAAGTTGATTTAAACCCTGATTGTAAATTTGCTATTATGTAACTTCAGTTGTCATACTCATTTTATAACTATGCTTAATTGAAAGTGTAATGCTAAACCCTTGGATGAATAAGAAGAGGAAAGTAGGGGACCTGGATATCCTAATTCTGGAGTGTTATATATTATGATATCAAATGATTATATGAATTCTAGGTTTCATCCTGTGATGTAGTAAGCTATTGCTTTGCTTTGTGAGCCAGGGTTTTGGAACTACTATGGTAAGGGCTCTCAACAGAAATTCCTGCTTTTTCAGATGGAGGCAAGATCTGGACTATCCACACTCTGGCAGCTATAGTCCCCTTTCTTGGGTTATCCTTTCTTTTTCCTGTGGCTAAAATAAGCTTGCTTTCTTCTCAGAACTTGAGAATTTCTTTTTGCAGCAGATTGTGATTCTAAGCACTGATTGGATGACCATGCGCAGCAACAAAATACCTGATCTAGCCCACTAGAGTATACTATAATTAAAACTTTATTTCTAATGAGAAGCAGTACAAATTTGTGTTTTCTTGAGCATGTTCCACCTTGTATAATTATTTCTATTATTTTTATTTTGCAGAAGCACTAAAAGAAATAGATGATGTCTATGAAAAATACAAGTCAGAAAACGATCCTGTTCAGAAGAAACGCTTGCAGCAGCATCTCCAGCGTGCATTAATCAACAGCCAAGAACTTGGAGATGAAAAAATTCAGATAGTTACTCAGATGCTAGAACTGGTAGAGAATAGAGCTCGGCAAATGGAAACACACTCTCAGTGTTTCCAAGATCTGTCTGAGAATGAAAAGCCTGTAGAAAAGGCAAAGATGGAGTCCTGCCAGCCAGAGAGATCTTCACGTAGACCTCGTCGCCAGCGAACCAGCGAAAGCCGTGATCTGTGCCATATAGCAAATGGCATAGATGACTGTGATGATCAGCCCCCTAAAGAAAAAAGATCTAAATCTTCCAAGAAGAAAAAACGCTCCAAAGCCAAACAAGAGAGAGAGGTTTCACCCGTAGAATTTGCAATTGATCCCAATGAACCAACTTATTGCTTATGCAACCAAGTGTCTTATGGTGAAATGATAGGATGTGATAATGAACAGTGTCCTATCGAGTGGTTCCACTTCTCGTGTGTTGGACTCACCTACAAGCCAAAGGGCAAATGGTATTGCCCCAAGTGCAGAGGAGACAATGAGAAAACAATGGACAAATGTACTGACAAATCAAAAAAGGATAGAAGATCGAGGTAGTGAAAGCAATTCATATTTTAAAGAGTTGCTCCTTTTATAGTAAAATGTTTAATTTCCAGAGAACGCTGTTTTAGGAAATGCATAAGACTATGCAATAATTTTTAATCTATAATATTAATGGAGTATTAAAAGCTGTTATACTTTCTGTGATCTTAACTTTCTGCACTGAATAACCAAATAATTGAAACAGGGTGGCTTCAGACTTTCACAGAAGACATTGCAAGCATATGGCACTTGGTTTCAATT